TTTAGAGTATGTCAAACCAGGCCTTAGCTTCAGAGTTTTAACAAAATTGTATTAATCTTTTTTTAGATTTAAATTCACATCACACTTTGCCCCAAATGATATCATGTGTTACATAAGTAGAAAAATGATGACATTACTATTATTTTTAATACTAAAATACTCAAATTACCCTTATACATTCATAAACCTAGGGTGGTCATTGGCTGGACCAGCCAAACCGGGTTAGCTAACAGCCAAGATGGACTGCCTAATAATGACATTTGTAGTTGCTCAAGCCCAGACCAGCGCAGCCGGGCCTCTATGACTATCTAAAGCCCAGTCTTAAAGTATTTCTTAAGCCTGCTCTTTAGGCCTTTATATATATAGGTTGTTGAAAGAGAAAAATGGATTAAATTACACCATAAAGTCCTACAAGTGTTTAACTCTAAGGGATCGGCATACTGAGTGCAACTTGAGGTCTAAGGGGGTGCTTTCTCTAGGAAATAGGTTTAATTCTTACTAGGTATCAATTCTTTGGAGTCACGGCCATGGGCTCTACCGAGATTTGCCCAATCCACATGAAGGATGTGTTTTGCTAAGATTAGTTAAGGCGCGTAAACTACCTCAGACAACCAATCATAAAAAAAAAAAAAAAGTCTCATAAGTGTTTGTATAGATTAAAAAGTTTTATCAATTCGTCGCTGAAAATTGGTTTTGTCAAAATCATTGCTAAAAAAAAATTGTGATAATTTTATGAATTTGTCGCTAAAAACTGACAGACGTTTTTTTGTGAGGATTTTCCTAATCTATCGTCAAAAATTGATAATTAGTGACGTTTAACTGTGACAATTTTCTAAATTTGTCATTAAAAACTAATAATTAATGACACTTTTTATAGAAACGTCACTAAAAAAAATAAAAAATAAGATTTTGTGCTAACAATTAAAAGTGAATACGATTTTTTGTTCACCAAAAAGTCAAGATGACTATTGGTGTACCCATCTTGCTAATAGGACTTTTCCATCATTTCCCTCCACACAAAAAAAAAAAGAAGGGAAAATTACAAAAAAGAAAAACCTAGCGACCATTGTAAGAAAATAAATTCTAAATTTTTTTATTTTATCAATTTAAATCATAAATGATTGATTGGCTTTTAATCTAAATTATTTTTTTACTTTCATTAAGTAAAATTGACAAAAAAATTAGTATTTTAGTCATTAAACTTAACAAAAAGAATGTTTTAGATATTTTATGTACACTTACATTGAGTTTAATGAACAAAATATAATTTTTTCATTAATTTTACTTAACAAAAATAGACTAATAATTTATATCAAAAACAAATAAAAAATTTAGAATTTAAATTGATAAAATAAAAAACTCTAAATTTATTTTGTTATACGGATTGGATTCTAAATTATTTTTTGATAATTTCTATATAAAAAAATAAAAATACAAGCAACTTGATCAATTCTAAATTTTTTATTTTATCAATTTAAATCATAAATGATTGATTGGTTTTCAATCTAAATTATTTTTCTATTTTTGTTAAGTAAAATTGACTAAAAAATTAGTATTTTAGTCATTAAACTTAATAAAAAGAATGTTTTAGATATTTTATGTACACTTACATTGAGTTTAATGAATAAAATATAATTTTTTCATTAATTTTACTAAACAAAAATAGACTAATAATTTATATAAAAAAAAAATAAAAAATTTAGAATTTAAATTGATAAAATAAAAACTCTAAATTTATTTTGTTATACGGATTGGATTCTGAATTATTTTTTGATAATTTCTATATAAAAGAAAAAAAAAAAGGAAAATTTACCCATAAGTCCTAGTTTCTGAAAAGTTGAACCATTTAGTCCTAAAAGTTTTCTTATGCTCCATTTAGTCCCATTTGCACATCAATCTAATGTTCGAAACATTAATCTGATGTTCGAAATCTAATGTTCCAAACATTAATTTGATGTTCAAAATCTAATGTTCGAAACATTAATCTGATATTTGAAACATTGTAATGAGACCTTTCAGTCTATAAAAAAACTTTTAGGACTAAACAGTGGATAAGTTATTAATTTGGGATTTATTGGTGCATTCCCAAAAAAAAAATACAAGCAACTTGATCAGTGTAATATATTTTTATTTATTTAGTTTTCAAAAATTGAAACCAGGGTTGATAGATAGTGTAGGTGTCAAACTCAAATTTTGCCAGATGTTCCCATAACAATGGCAGCATCATCAAAGCTTAGGCATGGATGGACAATGAATTGGAGATGCGATTTTGTTGTGTGGATCACATCTCCCTAACAAATGGGTGAACTTTCTCGGTTGGGTCTGGGCTTTCTTTATATTATGTGAAGGAAAATGCTTAAGATTCATATATAAAAAAAAAAAAAAAATTATAATTTAATTGACAATGATCAAGTATTATGTATGTTAATTTTTTATTTATCATATATTTAATTATATAAAACGTATTTTTTTTATTACATCATTATAATTTGTAGATAAATTTAAAATTTTAATTTGTGAATTTCTAACACTACTTTATGTGAATTAGAAGATCTGATTGAGACCCAAATGAAAAGAAAATTCCAAGAGCTGAGAGGGAGAGCCCTTTTGCTCTTTTGTCCCCGATCATCCACACATTCCCATCAGAGATTCATACCGTGAAAAAAGAAAAAGAAAAAAAAAGAAATGGGGATTGGGTTTATTAGGTCTTTTAAAAAAAGGAAAAATTACTTGCATGTGGTATTTACAAAAAAAAATTATTACATATGTGTAGAAAAGTTTATAATTTTAATTATTAATATTGATAAAATTTATTATTAATTTGTAATTATTTTTCAATTTATACATTGATTTGAAATTTTTCCTTAAAAAAATTGATAATGATTAAAATTATTTTTCAATTTATACATTGATTTGAAATTTTTCCTTAAAAAAATTGATAATGATTAATGAATACTTATGATTTATAAATAATTTTAATTGTTTTAGTTATTCCACATTTACTATGTGAAACAAATAAGAGAGTGATATTGAGAGAGTAAGAAAACTCTTGTATTGAATGTATCTGAAAGTGTAAGAAGGGACTCCATTTATAGGAACACATTCTTCCATATGATATTTACTACTTTATACACAGGACCAAAAGATCTCTCACACCATTTATAAGCCGAAGACACAGTGAAACCTTTTGATGGGTCTGCATTCCATCTCAAACAGTCAACCACATTCTCTCTAATAGCAGGTGCAATTTGATGTCATGCATAAGTCACATGTCAATTTTTTTTATCTATTATGGAAATAAATTCTTAACAGAATAATTACATTGATAAAAATTAATAGTTTAAGGTGAAAAATATAACATTTTTTTAGTTGAGAAGGTAAAGTGATATTGGCTAATAGTTCAAGAAAGTAGGATGTAAATTATCCAATTACAGAAAATAGTATTTTTGTATAGAAACGCCACTATGCTATGATAATTTAAAAAAAAAAACTACGTAATATCAAGTCATCTATGCCTCTCATAAAAGAGAGTACACAAGTAATCGATTAATTAAATATTCTAATTAATTTATATTTTACAATCTTTTCATTTGACACGTTGCACCGGCCTTTTATTAGTATATATATATGGTGTATTTCACATATATATATATAAACTACATATAAGAAAGCAAGTATAAATTATTAGCGGTTTGCACACGCGGTACATTTACAACTCTAAAAAAATAATATTATAATAATATTGACAAAGAAAAATGCACACATAATATGTGTTGGTCAAATAGTATGTACTTTGTTTATCAAACTTATGATCCTCATTTGGAGTCTCATTGATATAGTGCCAAACACAAAAATATTAACAATCTTAGAATCTCTTGATTCAAACAATAATATTGAAATTAAGATTCTTTTATAGACGCTTTGATTTACAAAGAATACCAAGAATAGAGACTTAACAATATTGAAGAAAATGAGTATATCAACTCATAATATCATTAATCATCAAAATCTATTTTACAAAACCTAGTATGTATTGTTTTTAAGTGGTTAGTGCTTTGTTTATCAAATTTGTTATTGTACAAGAATTCTACTCTTAGGGCCTCCTTGATTGGGAGGATTATAAAATGGTATTGAGATTATTAATACATGAAACTGACATTTCATTGTTTGGTTATAAATTTTGTTATCCAGATTAAATTTCTATGGACATTCTACCCAACAAAATTGATCAATTTTTTAGTCCCACCACTAATAATGCAAACCAAACATATAATTGACATAATATATTTTCATATCAATTGCAAAACAAATATGGATAAGAGCTAATTATTTATGTCACTAATTTTGTTAGATAACCAATCTTATACTAATCTCATGAATTATTAATCTCTCCACTGTTAACCAAACAAAGCCTTTTCGTAGAATTAGAATTCTATCCATGTACAAATTTCTTGCAATGAAATTGGGTGTCTAACATGGCCTAAACTTTCCTAATACGTATCCTAGTCAATATTAACTACTTCTTTCTTGCTAAATATCAAGCACCTTTATCAAACTACCTCTCTATTATATATACCTATATACCTCACGTTCTATCCATCACATTACATTCCACAACAAAACCCTCGAACAACTTTCTATCCATTACATTCCACAACAAAAACCCTCCCTAGAACTAGCAAGTGAAGTGCCGAGAGAGAGGAGAAGACAAGTGATCAAAGAATGGCAATTGCTTTTGGCGTAGGTCGTAAGTTTGTGCCCACAAACGAAGAATTGGTGTCCCATTACCTTTTCAAAAAGGCCATAGAACAACCACTGTCATATGAAGGTTTCATCCTAGAGCGCGACCTCTACGGTGATGAAGAGCCATGGGACATATTTTGGAGATCGAACTGGAACAAAAACGTCTCTAACTACTATTATTATACTACATTGAAGAAGAAGAACAAATGCAAGAATCAAAAATTTGGGAAACGTTTTGCTCGCACGGTGGGGAAGGGAGGTACGTGGAGCGGTGTCAACAGCCAACCAATTCATAATAAAAAAGGAGTGCTTATAGGTTGCATGAAAAACTTTGTTTACGAGAAGAAAGGATCCGCACAGCATGGTCGTTGGCTCATGAAAGAGTTTAGTCTTGACGGCGCTTTACTCGACCACGTCAAGAGATTGAAGCAAGAAAACGTAATTTCTCGTTCTTTCTTTCTCTGTATTATTTCTGTGTGTTTGTTTTGTGTTACTTATTTTATAAGAATTCTTAGAATAATATAGGCATGATTATTCAAGTCTTGTTTTATAATATGCTATTATTGATGTTGTTTTATTTTGTTTTATGTGTTTTTTCTAGTACATAGTTGTTGTCTTTCTTGTTTATTGTTTAGAGTCGTTGTATACATGTGATCTGACCCTACAAGAAAGAGCGGTGGGTTGTGATGTATCACATCATCTAACAACTTAACCGGTTTGTGCTTATGACCCATTAGGTCTAATCCGGTTCTTAATGTATTCGAATCTTAGTATATATATATTATGAGTTAATTGGGAGATTAGGGTTATTAGATTAGATCAAATTCTTGTTACGTACGGATATGTAATTTTTCTTTCCTTGGTAGTAAAACTCTGCAACAATCTTTGCAATTGTGGTGGTTTCCTGTTTGGAGCAAGTTTGTGGCAAGGTCGGTGGCTCTGTTTTGGTTGTGTTTGGGATCCGGAGTGGGCTTATTTTTTAATCTTGGTTTAGTAAACTTTGGCCTTCTTTTTTCTTGTTTGATTCGGAGGTATTTGAATATGATTTTGCAATATTTTTGTGCCAACTTAATTGGAATTAGTTCGGTTTGCTATGAGGAAATTTAAATTTTTGTCTCTCTTTATTGATATAACTTGTTTGACACATTAATAAAGTTTTTTATTTTTGCTGAACAAAAAAAGTATAGCCAAACCACATATATGTCATGTTCTTGTGTGATTTGGTTTGTTTTATTTTCTAGTTTTCATTTGTTCTGTTTAAGACTCAATTGAAAAAAAATTGATTTAGTAATTGAGTTCTGCAATATTTCAACTAAAGATCATAACTGTCTTTTATTTTCTCCATTTAGTTACATATATGATTTAAATGTCTTGCATTTGAGACTTCTTCTCTTAATTCACATTTGATTATTGAAAAGTCTGTTGTATTATTTTCTTTTGCTTTAAGAGGTAGAACATTAACAATGTTTGTTCAAGTTTTGTATAATGATTATCCATTGCTTATTTTATTTTTTCAAAGTTCTCAGTCCTTATATGTCATTGAACTTTCCTCTAACTAGCTTATGTTAATTATTTTTTGGTGTAGTACAAAGATTTAGTCATATGCCAAATCAAGTGGAAAGATCAAGGACGAAACCGGGCAAGATCAAGTGATGTCGAGGTTCTTCAAGCCAAGCCAGTTCTTAATGACCAATTGGGTGAATTCCGCTACTTGAATTCCGAACAAACAATGCAACAAGCAACTACCAGCACTATTGCAGTAGAGCAGGAAGTCCAATCCGATGAATTTGATACGCTGAACAAGGATACAGCAGTGGCACAAGCTGCCTTCATCGTGGGACAAAATCAGATTCAAATGCAAGAACATAGTATTAGGCCCCTTGAAAGATCTACACTGATGACGAGTAGTTTTGACGTTGAATCATTGTTGCCTACTGTGAGATACGAAGATGGTATTCAATCCGCTGAGAGCAATTTAAGTATTGATATGAATGAATTACTTTATTTTCTGGACACTTCGCTCGACTTCAAATGTTCAGGACCCCGTGATTGAGTGCATGGATTTGTCGAAGAGAATGGACAAATATTCTGCTGAAGAAAATGGATTATGTGACGAAAGGTTCGGAATTGGGTCAAAAGAGTTTATGGAACAGCTGATGAAAGATCAAGAAGAAGACCCTTTCTTGCTTGACACTAGCTGGGAAAAAGATTTAGACTTGGAACTACGAATTGGATGAGTTACATTGCAGCAAGACATTCTGTTTTTTCAATTTGAATTTCTAAGATATTCTGTTTTTTCAAGTTGAATTTCTAAGATGTTAACTCCATGTTTGGGTTTTCTCTGCCTTGGCGATTGCACATGATTGGGTTGGTTTGGTATGTAATATACTCAAGTCGGCAATGATGCATTTTCATCACCTTGGCCTCTGTATGTATAAAGTTTTTTTTCCCTTTAATCTTTATACATTATTATTAATTGTTCAAAACCATATCCATTTGTGTTGTTTAAATGTGCTGCTCAAAAGTAGTAGTAGTAGTTGTTAGGATATACCTCCTTATTGGAGTGTGGGACCCAATTAGTTTGTTTAAGAGTTTTAATTTGACTTGATTTAGGTATAATATATTTTTATATATTATATTTGAGGAAACCCAATTCAATTTGGATACAATTAGGTTTTGATTACAAAACTCTAGATTAACCATATATATATATATATATATATTGTTTTATGTTTTTTGCTTGGTGGGATTACAAGGATCTAGCGGCAGCAGATTTATTCTTGGTTGGTGTGATAGGCCTTGAGTTGATTAATCAATTTGGTGGCACTAACGTTTGGCGGAGTGATTTATTCAAGTTTCGGAAAATTACTCCGTTCGTGGCTGTTTTTGGATTAATTATTTTGGGTCTTCTTCAACTTTGGTTCAGAAGATTTTGGTTCTTCTATTTGGTGAGGTCTTTCCTCTTTGTTCATGATTGGGTTGGTTTGGTATGTAATATACTCAAGTCGGCAATGATGCATTTTCATCACCTTGGCCTCTGTATGTATAAAGTTTTTTTTCCCTTTAATCTTTATACATTATTAAAATTTCAGTTTTAAATGTTCTTACATTATTATTAATTGTTCAAAACCATATCCATTTGTGTTGTTTAAATGTGCTGCTCAAAAGTAGTAGTAGTAGTTTTGATTTGTGAAAAGAAAAGTTTACAGTTTAAATTAACATACAACTAGCCTTAAAAAAGTTAAATTCATACCAATATGAACATTTACACTACAATGTGAAAACATGAAATAAAATTGAATAATGTAAAAAAAAAAAAAAAAAATTGACTTTGCATTTTATCACCAATATTGCACTTGCGATCCATTTTGAAAGATTTAGCGTCTTTTGCAGGTGATAAAAGAATCTGGAAGATGAACAAATCACATCTTAGAGGTATAGGAAATTTCATCGTGGATTTAGAACTCATGTTGTCAAATACAATGTAGATAGGATAATTTATTACTGATTATTTATTAGTTATGCAAGTTTTGTTCACTACCAAACAGAGGACCCAACGCTCTGTGATACTGAAAGTTCAGCTAAACATTGCTTTGTATGAACTCAAGGGATTCATACAAGGCTTCAGTAACTGTTTCATTTAGGTCCTGCTGCTGCTGCTGCTGCTGCTGCTGCTGCAAGGTACTTCTCGCGAGTGGCTTGAAACTTGATGACTAACTTGTCACTAGGCGGCCAGTTTTCTTTGATTACCGGAACATCTGAAAAGTTTCGCATCCATGCCGATAGCAGTGGAAATTTCTCTTCATCTAATAGCTTTATCCCAGTAACCTCCTCGAATACACTTAACAAATTAGCTGTCCAACCAAATGCAATGTCTGTGTATCCGATTGTCTCTCCGCCAAAAAACTTATTTCCCTTGAGTTGTTCTTCTATGTATTTCAAGTTCTCCATGACTTGAGGAATGGCCTCCTCTTGCCTCTTTCCCTTGAGTAATAAGAAAATTGAAAACGGAATTCAAAAGCTACAATTTCAAAAGAAAAAAAGAAATAGTTAAGGTTTGGGATGAAAGTGTAGAACAAACAGGAACACATGTATAAGAGCACTGTTCTCTCTATTAGTCATCCAAAAATGCTTAGCCATAAAGAAGTTACTAAAAATAGCAAACGACGATAAACAAGGAAATTTCTGGACAAAGTGACAACTAAAATAAAATAATAATAAAAAAAAAAAATCTAAAAAATAGCAAATTTGCCGTAACAGAAGCCTTGATTGATGTAGCTTGTGGACTTGTTTATAATTTTTTTTATTATTGTTTTAAAAAATTCTGCCAGAGTACTTGATTCAGTTTCTATATATAAGTTGAAAAAAAATAATTATTGAAAAGCAAGGAAATGGGTGCTTTTTAACTTGTGCTTGTTGGTTAATAAGTTGAACCATACAGGCCCTTTGTCTAAGAATCAATTACATAGGCAGTTAGCTTGAGGGCTGAAAAAACAGATTATATTGGGAAGCAAGGAAAAGGGTGTTTTTACATCTTGCTTTATGATTAACAAGTTGTACCAAACATGCCCTTTCTCTAAGAATGAATTACATAGGCAATCAACTTGGGGTTTCAGTCACTTATTTAATGATCAAAGCCACAAATGATTTACTCCTTAAAGTGCTATACGATGATAATTTTAAAAAATTATATAATAGTAAGTCATCTATGCCTCTCATAAAAAAGAGTACACAAGTAATCAACTTCTTAAATAATCTAATTAATTTTTATTTTCTCATACAATCTTTTCATTTGACCTGTTGCACTGGCCTTAAAGCCACAAATGATTTACTCCTTAAAGTGGCAATCTATGTACAGATCACTTACCTAGTCAATTTCATCGGTGCATGTCTCACTATTTCAAAATATCAAATACAATTAAAGTGGAAAAAAAATAATGAAATAGAGGATGAAGTATTAACTGAAATTTTTTGATACAGTACAGGGAAAAGAAGTAGATCAAGGCATGGGTGAGTGAGGGAGTGGTGAATTTACCTTTTCATCCCCGAATTTTGCCCAGAAACGCGCTGTGGCTCTTTCATAAGGATCTTGAGGCAACAAGGGATTATGCTTCCATGTCTCGTCGATGTATTCAAGAATTACCAGTGATTCTGAGATTGGTTTTCCGTTGTGCACAAGAACTGGAACCTTTTTGTGGACAGGATTGTACTGGAGTAGCAGAGGGCTTTTGTTGGTAATATCCTCAAATATGGTTTCATATTCTTCTATGCCTTTGAGCTTCAATGCCCAAATGATTCTCAAGGCAAATGGACTTGACCATGTCCTGAAAACCTTCAATTCTTCTGCCATAGTGTTTTGTGATGGATTACTGTGTTAGTTGAGGTCCTTTTATAAGCCAGCTATGCGCGTGAACAGAAGGAATCAAATACACAGAATACACAGATGTGAGTTCTGTGTTTAATTACTTCATTTGAGACATTTCTTGTCAAAAGTCAATTTAAGGATTCTAAAAAGCCACTAATAGGAGTAACCAAAAAATTATGAATATACCGAACTAAATTTTTTTAGTATTATCTTTTTTATTGACTTATTTTTAGCCAATAAGATAAATTTTTAATAAATTCTCAAAAAAATCTTTAAAATTTAGAATAAATTACAAACACATCCCTGAGATTTACTTAAATTATAAATTATCCCTTGTGATTCTATAAATTACATTATACCCCTAAGGTTTCTAATATCATAACAAATAGATCTTTTTATTAATAAATTATCAAGTTAATTAACAGTTTTTAATAATGTTAAAATTTTATTTTAATTAATAATTCAGATAATTTTATTATTGTATAGATAAACAGTTAGAAATTTCACTTTTTCAATTAATTTTGTTAGATAAAAAATTCTGACATTGAGATATTTGCAATTTTCCAAACTACATAGAGTAATTCGTATTTTAAACAAATCTAAAAGAGTATATTTGTAATTTATTCTAAAATTTATAAATAAAGGTTTTGTTTATGACAATCTTAAAAATTATCGATAAGAAATATTAAATACTAAAATATATATAATTTTAAGATATTTCTTACATATCTCAAAATAATTTAATACATTTCAATACGATTTCATCTACATTTTATGAAATGGTGAAACATCCTTATCTCTTGGGTATTTTTTTTTTTTTTTGGATACATCGGAAAGGAAATCTCTTGGGTACTAGCATGTGCTTTTACATCAGAGTTTGTGCAAGGTACCTAGTAGAGGGTTAGCTCTTCGGTCACCAAATTTTATTTTGAGGGAGAGGTGTTGCGTTTCTTTTTTAGGACTGGAATAGGAGAATAAAGTTTTTCTTGGAGAGTTTGTAGGGTGTTGGAGTGACAATTTTAACTTTTGAAAATATTAATTTAACAATTAATCATTAATTTTGATAATAAAAAAAATGTTATGAATCCTAAATGAATTATTAAATTTTTTATCAAATCTCTTGCTGTGACCCACATAAATTACATGGATATGAATCCCACATCTACATAAGAGATTTAATAAAAATTTTAATAATTTATTTAGAATCCCTAGTATAACTCAAAAAAAAAAAAAAAGATACCAAGTAGAAGTGTGGCATGAAGTTATGATCTTATTGAAAAGAAAAATGATTGAGATTTTTAAAATGAGAGTTCCGAGAAAGCTCTAATTGCATGAGACATGAGTTGTTTGAGGTGTTCTAAATAAGTGCATTTTTTTTAATCTTTTTTGACTAAAAGGTTGAGGGAAAAATATGAATGTTTGAGTTAATTTTTTGAGTTTTTATGAAAAAATATATATTAAAAAATTGTATAAATAAGTGTATAGATGAAGCTATAGATGGAATAGGCCGTACGGTCGGAATCGTAAGGGCAGTGCGACAGAGGGTATAGTGTAGGAGATTGATTCTCTCCTTTTAGGGCATAAATTGGACGGTGCTGTTCGGCTCATGGGGGCCTACCACGGGTCTCGTTTTACTAATCGGAACCGTCAATGTGTAAAACTCATCGAGTATTATATGTTTACAAAAAATTACGTTGATTGGATATCAATAACTATCTGATCGTGTTAGTTTTTTTTGTCAACTATTAACTATAACACCATACATTTTTTTATACAAAACTGATTTGATCATGTTACCGATTTCAGATCAACGTGATTTTTTACAAGCATATAGTCCTGGATGAGTTCTACATATTGAACGGTTTAGATTATTAAAATAAGACTCATGGTGGGCCCCCACGAACCCAACATTTCTGTCAAACTTAGTGATTTTATATATGTAATTCTTTTTTTTTTCCTCTCATGGTAGTACAGTGTCAATCTAGCTCCGAAAATTGGGTAAATTTTGTTTGATTAAAATATTATATATATTAATTTTTAGTGTTTTGTGATGGATTACTGTGTTAGTTGAGGTCCTTTTATAAGCCAGCTATGCGCGTGA